AGAAAGAAATAAAATATATAATAAATTTACTTAAATATGACAGAGTGTTATATTTACCCAAACCCAAGATGACTTTGAATTAAGACAACCCTCCAAAAATCTGATTCTATACAAGGAAAATTATAAATTCATTACCATTTTCCACATATAGAATCTAATTATTGAAAGATCCTCTTAAATTCATCCCCCCAAAGCAGCAAGGGCAAGAGGACAGAACTCTGACCCATTCTCCCCCTTCTGCTTATGTCCCCTTCTGTCCCCCTGCACCCCCATACCTGCGCCAGTCCCCTATCTGTCCCCCCCACCACTTTACCCCGCATTTGCCTGCCCCATGCCCTCCCTAACCCTGCAATCCCATGCCGCTTACCTTCTGGGCAGCTCTGGCTTTGGGGCAGTCAGCATACTTCAAATCCAAGACAAAGCTTTTTTTCCCCATGATGATTGGGAGGGAAAGCCTCGTTTGGGATTTGAATAACTATGGTAACATGTTAACCACAGTTTTCAGTTTTTTCAAGGAATTTAGCACAGTGGAATAGGATCATCCATTGACACCTAATAGATGGAATAGAATCTGGACCCAGTCTAGGAGGGGAGAATTGGAAATACCCTCTATTTGAGCAGTATTCTGGACACAGATTACTACATACACTAGTAAACTTGAAGTTTCCATAACCTGTGCTGGGAATTGGAGGAAGTGCCTTCGCATGCTATGGTGTATTAGATAGGCAATACCTGCCATAAATATCAAAACCAAACTGACTTCTTTTACAACAATATCAATGTGATAGACTTCAGTCTCTATGGTGTTTGCTAACACCAACCTGTTATGCCAAACACTAAAAAACAAAACAAACAAACAAAAAACACCACATGAAAATTAAGTGAAAGCTGTTCAAAGGAACAAGAGGTTTAAATGGAACTTAATATTTTTATAGCCAATTCTTTACTCAGCCTCAAAATTCCAACCTGCAGTGAACACATTTATAGTTCATAAACATGATTAAAAAGGTTGTTTGCAAAATTCATAACTGTGGAATTAGTCGCAGATGGAAGCAGTTATACCCTTCAGCATGACTACAACAGCTGGCTGTCTGAACTAACAGCAGCTGGATAGGATCCACTTTCATGTCAACCAAGAGATCCATTCTACCTCCAACTACTTTTAAGCCTTGAAATCAAAAGCACGTAGAGGAAAAAATAACATCAGAACAAAAAAAAAAAGTCCATACTAATTCAGGATCAACTTTGTCCAGAGCTTCAAGCTATTGTTGTAAAAAATATTAGTGTCACTGCACAAAGAAAAAAGATTATACAGAATACATACCTGTGCTGGGGACTGGGCATGCTACCATCTAGTATTGATATATATATTTATGAAGCTAGGAGAAAGATCAGTCAGAATGAAGTATGCTGTGATCAGAAACACTAAGAAAATATGACAAGTATCCAAAGATCTCTTTTCAAAAATATATTAACTTTTTATTTATAGCCTATCCATATGCCTTATACAAATCAGACACAAAAAACAACAAACCTCATTTCCAAAAGACACTTAATAGTGTATTAATCTGTGGACTTCTAGGTTTTAGTTTGTCATTTAAAAAAAAAAACCCAAACCTAATCTTGGACTTCTAGGTTTCATTTTATCAGGAAAAACCCAAGTGTGTCACAAAGCAAAAGCCCAGATTCCAAGAAATCAAACAATAAACATACCATATAACTAATCATACCATAAAATCCAATGCAAGTATTGCAGATCTTGACATAAACATGACATGAGATAAGTATTCATTACGCGCTTCATGACACTTCACTTCTCTTTACTGTTCCCTAAATATTGATTTAAAATTAGCCTGATTTCAGTTGTAACTGTCTATATAATTTTATTATAATACTGTTCTCATATTAGGTCAAGAATCTCTGAGCCAGGCACCTCAGTAATGTGTGCTCGAACACAGACCCACAAACACCTTCATTTTGAAATACATTATATATGGGATTTGTAACAGTATATTAGACTATCAAGGTCAACATATGGCCTCTGGCAGTGGCCAGTCATGTGTATATGCCTTACTCTGAGAAACTTATTCAAGACTGGAAGCAATACGGTAGTTAGAAAATGTGTGTTGGACATGGAAGTCTCCAAACTTTCAAACAAACCAGTACACCAAAAATAGAACACCCAGGCTAGGGACAGACATTACACATAAACTGGCTTAAGTGATCAGAAACTGGTTTAAACCTGTAACAGAACAGATGTTCAGTGCACATAAACCAGTTTGAAAATGGCTGAAACTGGTTTGAGATAAACCCGGTTGAATGTAGTATCAGATAGAGGCAGCAGAAGGGGGGGGAAGAGGGGGGCAATGGTGCTCAACACCCCCAAACACTGGGCAGCAGGTATGGCTGATGGGTAGCCAAGCCGCAGGCTGCTGCAGCGGGGGGGGGAGGACGACACGCACACTGAGATCCCCTCCGCAGTCAGGATCGTGGCCGGCTCAGCAGGCAGGTAAGTTTCTTTCTATCTTCTTTCTTCATGACTACCTGAGCTTGCGGTGGGGAGTTGTGGGACAATCAGAGCCTGGTGGCTCCTCCAGAGGTGCAGCACTGGGGAGCCAAGGGGGGGGGGGGGGGGCACATGGCCCCACAGCCTTTGCACCAGTCAAGGGCAGGCTGCAGCTGTGGGCTTGGATCTGCCTGCTCTCTGCCTCCATGCCTTGCTGCCACTGCTTTGAAAGCAGTATGGCACGGCGTCATGTGCCTCACTGCCCAGCCTATCCAGTGGTGGGATATACATGGCGCCACACCATGCCGCTTTCAATAGCAGCAGTGAAACGCAGAGGCAGAGAGCAAACAGAACCCAACCCACAGCTGCAGCCTACCCTTGCCCCAGGCAAACATCAGGGGGCCACTCGCCCCCCACTTGGCTCCCCAGTGCCGTGCTTCTGGAGGAGCCGCCGGGCTGCACTGGGCTCTTCCTGGGGATGACTCAGAGCAGGGCAGGGTGAGCACAGGAGTCCCGAAGGCTCCATTCCCTCCGGCCTGGCAGAGCAGCCAAGGCTAGCCCCACTCAGGCTCCTGGATCTGGACCCCCCCGGGCAGTGCGGGGAGGCAGCTGGGGCCGGTGGTTTCGTGGGGGCCGCTGGTGCCAGGCAACGAACCCGGGCACAGGAGAAGGAGCAGCTGCATGGGAACAGAGGGCCCTGGCCCTGAGCCCGGGCCTGGATCTGCTCCGCTCTCTCCTGATCCCTGCCCAGTCCCAGCCCCACACCCCACCCACCCAGCCCTTTCCCTTGTCCCCAGAGACTTTCCCAGGGAAGGCAGGGAGGGCGTGTGCACTCAGCTCCCCCCCAACCCCACAAATTTTCAAACTCCGACTATGGTATCAAACTTAACTAATTTGAGCCAAACTGGTTTATGCAATGTCTGTCCCAGACCCATTGCTGGTTTAAGATAAACCAGACTCCCACACCATCCCAGCATGCTCTCTGGGCTGAGTGGGGCTCTCTGCTCCACAGCAGGGCTGGGCCCTTCTCTCTGCTCCCTAGCCAGAGCTGTGGTGGAGACTGCAAGCACAGCAGGGTCTGTATGGCTTTCCCCTGCCCCACCCCCACCTCGCTGCACTGCTCAAGCAGAAATCCACCCCCCTCCTTCCCTCCCTCCCATATCCCACAGCACAAGACCCCAGCCCCAGAGACGGTAGGCATGTCATATGCTAGCTAATGCCGAGAGGTGTCTGTGTGTATGTCTCTCCAATTTCACTGGGACAGGCAGACAGAAAAGTGACCACTTAGGGCTTTTTGGAGCTAATCAGCAGGTCAGCTGGTAAGCTGCTTAAGAAGAGTTTGAACTAATGAAAAGAGGCTTTTGTTTTGCTGATGGGGTGATAAACACTGTTATCAGCCCCCTGCTGGCTTCCTTGCCTGTCAGTTTGCTGCAGACAATATAAAGAAGAAGGAAGGGAGAGTAAAAAGGTCTGTATCATTCCCCTTTTCCTCAGAGTGCTAGCAGCCAGTGGGGAAAAGCCTGGGATGGTGCAGACAGACCTCCCTAATCAAAGCGTCCTGCCCGAGCCTGGCCACGCCCCCCTCAGCTCAGCAGTGAGCAAGGGAAGGAAGGGCTGTTCTAGCACCCCCAGCTTCTAGACTGGGTCACTGCAGGCATGTGCCTGAATTTCCTCAGTCCAGAGAGAATGTCTGTCCAGTTACATACCGGTTCAGCCAAGCCAGGTTCAAGTAACCTGCAAAGATTGAATCAATTCAGGCTCCAGCTTTTTGAATGTTTGTCCCTAGCCCCATTCTTCAGATCCTTACCAGCAGTAACAACTTAAGAACTTCAGTGGGATTGCTTACTTGGTCAAGACCCCTTGAGCAACTGCACATAATAAGGAATTTGCCCCATTTTCAGGATCCATGCTCTCTCAATGCAGTGAACAAATATTGAAAGATATATATGGAGAATGTGAAATCATAATCATGGGTAGAAATACTTGTGTATTGCCAAAGGACTTACTACATATTAATCCTGGCTATTGTTACCACCACAACATTTATTAATTGGATTTTATGTAACTATTTACTCCCTCCTTTACAAACAGGTAAGTGATTACATTGTCTGCCTCCCTCTGCATGCAGATTTACAAAGGCTGAATTCAAGATTTTTTTGGTTGAAACGGATTTAACAACGGAAATTATCCTCTGAACCAGGATTGCCTGCATCATACCTAAATCACACTTGTTAGTTGGGTGTCACATTTAGGATCAGTGAATTGATTGCTACTTTATAGCAAGAAGGAATATTTATTGTGGGTGGTAAACAGTGAAACAGGCCTGACATATGGTGCTTGACACCGGCTTTTTGATTCTAAACTGTATAATGATCATGATGTTAAACAAATCTCTCTTATTTTACAGTTTCAACGTTCAGTTGAGATTTTATTTCACTTCATCTTGAAATTTATAATTCTGCTGTAGTAACTGTGTTTTTCTTTTTATCTACAGCTAAAATACATGGGAAGAATTTCTGAAAGGAAGACAATACACTCTGCCACTCACCCCGTGGCCAGGTACGCAGGAAAAAAAAAAGCATATAAAACAACTAAAGTAACTACATCAAGGAAACAAAAGGCAGCTTAAGTTAAACATGTGAATTCTTTTCTTATGCAAAAGCCATCTGGACCACAACCAGACTGTGAATATGTCTCATATCTTCATGCACATTTGAAGGAGTAATACCACCACTTCATATTCCGATTGTGCCTGTCATCCTAAGAACATTAGGAACTGGACAACAGTCTGCCCAGTCCTTATGCAGGTATGTACATGTGGAATGGAAAGGGGCCATTCTCTTCTTGAATTGCTCATATCAGGGCCAAATGGAGCTGCAGCACCTGGGCTTCTCTTTTCCTGTTCCTACCATGGCAGATAATGCCCTGCCTCATCTTGATAATCTTGGAGTGGGACTGTGCAGTGGGGGAGTAAACAGTAGGACATGGTATAAAGGGATATAATACCAAATGTGTTGCTCCTCCCTGTTGTGTTGGTCTGCCTCCTGCCATGCTCCTTTTGATGGGGCAGCTCTACATCATTCCTTATAATGGGTGTCCCTCAGTGACATGATTTAGCCTAAAGCAGGTAAGGGCACCAAGTGCATAAAGCCCATAAGTACATACTTAACTTTGAGGACACGCTGAAATCTCATTGATCTTAAGACCTTACCTCCATTGAAACCTATGCTTGGGTCCTCTGAGGCGTCACCTTGTTTTAATGATGATAAAGCAGACACTGAGAGGTTAAGTGACTTTCACAAGGTCCCAGAGAAAGTTTGCAACTGCATCAGAATTAGAACTCTACTGTCTTGATTCACTAACAGACAGATTGCGACTCCTCTCCTATATCCCCAACAATACTTCAGAACAGGAACATGAAGTAATAAATTAAACATCTGGTACACTGGGTACCAAATTTGGCAAATATATTGTCATTCCAAGCAGATTAGACCACTATAACAGGCACGTCCCATTATATGTTAAATATAACAGGTTTGACTAAACAGAAGTTGAGCCTGTTGTTATCCAGAAGCACCACCATTAAAGCCTCCACTTTTGCCAACTCCACTAGTTGGCCTTTAATTAACACTTGCACGCTCAGAATTTTACAGTTAGCAATATCTTCCTTATTACCTGAAGACAATTACTAAAACAATGAAAGTTTTCCTACAAAAGCTGCAGTTATTAGAAAACAGGTTCCTACAGACTTATTATACAGTATCTGATCGAAGGAAAAACAACTGGAGGGTCAGAACAAATGGATGAATGGAAACACAAACGGCTGAATTCAAGCAAACATGCTATGGTGTTCAGGCACAATAATGGCCCTAAAGAGGCTAACCACAACTGTGGATAACAAACAGAAACATCAAAGAGATTTTGCCAGTAGCAGAATCAATTAAAGATGATTCTGAAATGTCCATACAGAGTAAAAATTATCTGGGTTCATTGTGGCACTTTAACTGGAGTCATTAAACAACATACGTGCCACTACTGTCACTATATTTTAGGAGGAATATTATCACAGAAGAAAGCAATTAACATGACTCAGTTTTGCGGGTATGCGCTGCAAGAAGTGATTATTCAGACTTGGCGTTTACAGCCCTGAAAAATGGAGACCAGGATAGAAAGTTGGAGGCGAGTCAGACCCTGAGACGAAAGGAACAGATTGACGCCAATAAGCAATGTGAGACGGCACGTAATTTAAAATCATTGCAAACTGAAAGAAACTGTCAAGATTTTTAAGGTCCAAGAATTAATAACCTTGTAAATTTAATCTCTCTTTGCCCCTACAGCCCTTCTTCTCCCTTTAAAATATCCTTCATTCCTTTGGCATTACCATAGATACCTTTATTAAAAAAAAAAAAAAAGAAAAAAAAAAACACATATTGGAATAATGAAAAGCGGAGAGTTGGCTACAGGTTGGGACGTGGACACCTGTATAAAGCATGAGTGACTATGGATCTAATTTCCTGGCTCTGCTTTCTCGGTTCCTTCCCTATTCAAAAGATTAAGGCTTTTCACTTTGCTTTCCTGTGTACACATAAGGAAGTTGTCCTGGTATTACATGATACCTTTAATCAGAGGATTTTAGAATGCTTAAGGAGCCATTAAGCCATAGCATGCCTGTGAAGAAGGTACTATCACGCCTCTTGCAAAAACAGGGAAACTGAGGCAAAGAGTTTAAATGGCCTGTCAGGATGTCACAGAAGGTTAGCTGCACAGCCAGGAAAAGTACTCACAGGTCTCAGTTTCCCTTCCACAATAAAGTGTACTACCTGTTGCATCTAATTGCTCTAACTAGGTATTTAGAGCAGTGGTGCTCAACCTTTGCGTCCCACAGGATGAGTGACCTGGAGCTAGTCTGCAGGCCAGATTGAGCCCCATGCAACCATCAAGCTCTAGGGTCCAGCACCACCCCTCCCTGTCTTGTTCTCCAGGATTCAGCTCTGGGGGCCCAGCACCAACCTCTCCTGAAATTGGGCCCCGAGGGCCTGGCACCAATCCCTCCTTCCAGGATTGGGCTCTGGAGGCCTAATGCTGTCCCCACCCAACCCCATGCACTGAGATTGGGTTGTTGGGTCCAGCGCCACCTACATGAGCGCCAAATCCAGCTGCAGTTGCACCACTCCCCCACTGCTGAATTTCTAGACCCATGGGGAGCCTCCTGGGCCTTATGAATGTGCCATTGCCTGGATCTGGCCTGAGTTGATCTGCTGGGTTGAGCACCAGTGATTTAGAGCATGTTCAACAATACAGGTTAAACAGGATATTTTCAAAGACATACAGAAGATAAAGGGGCGAGGGGAGTCTAACCCTCATTGGCTCCTTTGAAAATCTCTCCCATGGGGGGCTTTCAGAAATAGTTTAGCCAAAACAACTTCTGACAGAAAAACAAGCAAAAACATCTACACAATAAGTTGGGAGAGAGAATTGATGAGGAAACATTTAAGTTGTTGGCTTTTTGAAGTTCAGTGGAAATGTCAGGGTATGACAGGCAATTTATAAATAGGTCATGAATAAAAAAAAAATTAAAAACACTTTACAATACAGTACTACAATGCCCCTTCAAGCTGGGGAAGGGATAAGTAGAATACAAGTAGAATTCTCCTCTGCAGAAAGATTGTCAGAAATTAGGTAGTGGACTGCTGACGTCAGTAAAGACGTTCATGTCCAAGGGGAGCAGAGCATGTCTTTAGTCTAGACAACCCCTTATGAGATCCCAGGTATCAAAGCCAACCCTAGTGGGGCGTGGGGCCCCAAATCAGCCTGTGCAGGGCCCCTTTAACACTGCACAGGGCCATAGGACCCCAACAAAGGCAGGGCACAACAGTGCTGTAGAAATGAAATTTGGTGCCTGGGGCCAAGCAGATCCCATGGGCCCTGGACAAGCTGCTCTTCAGCGGACACAAGCCGACGGCATGCAGCAGGGGGGTGGTGAGCAGCTGGACGCTTCTTCCACGGCAGGGGGCTGAGCCACCAGTTCCAGGTGGGCCTCGCAGGAGGGGCTGCAGCTGCTATGTCCAGCTCCACAGGGCCCCCCAAAGCACGGGGCCCGGGGCGGTCACCCCAATTCACCCAACCCAAGGGATGGACTACCAAACCCCCATCCTGCAAACTACTCCTGGTGCCTGTTCTACCAGCATTCGCTAATACTGGGAGCCAAGCAAGTAAGTTGGATGGTGGGAGGGGCAGGGGGGAATTGTACATCTCGGGGTAGGAAGGGGGGTTGGTGGGGGGGATTAGAAATAGCCCCTGGTCCCAGGGGGATGGGGGAGAGTGCCACATCCCCCCAAGCCTCCTCCTCCCCCACTGCCCAAGGACTCCATGAGCCTCCCTGATCCTGCCAAAACCTCCTGGACCCCAGCAACGCCCCCGCGAATTCCACCCAATCCCCCCTGCAGATAATGCCTGCCCTCAGATCTCCCTGATCCCACCCATGGGCTCTGCCTGCTCCCCCAACCCCCTTGAGCACCCCCCCAGAGCTTGCTTGCCCCCCCTAGTCCCTTCAAGCCCCTTCCCCTGCCCCCGCTAGCCTTCCCATCCCAATTTACCTTAGATTGGGTGGCTATTTTTAACTCCATCTAACCTCTTCCTACCCTCCCCTAACGGCTGTACACATTCCTGGTGTTTCCTGTTATGGCTCCCCATGCAGCCGAGGTTCCAGATCCGCCCCACATGCTTTG